GGCCAGTGACTGAAAGATATCACAGGCTCTACTTTGCCTGTGAAATAAAGAAGCTTTGGAAGGTGGATCTGGTTACAACGTCAGTGACTTTTTTCCTAGTCTCTACTGCTCAGCATTTTTAAAGACATTTAGTTCTTGTTTTAAGCAGGTAATTATTCCTGGTTTTTGTTGTCTACATTGCATCTTGCCCAGTATTAGCTTTTATTTTGAAACGATGCTTGGAATTATTTTCTGGTCATAAGAACAGACACTCACTGTGTGTTATTTCTATCCGATGTACGTAGTTGAAGATAATGATGCCCTAATTCACTTGCTGAATCATTATCGGTTTGATATCGCCTAGAGCTCAAACACAAGTGGCTGTTCTTTTGGTTGATGGAGGTGATGCTTTATTGTGGAGAAGGAAGTTGGGAAAGAATTGATTTTAGCATAAGCCCTCTTTACAAGGTTTTGGGCACGGAGATGAAGGTAGGGAAAACTGTGGGGTAAGTTAAAAGTGTGGGTGTTGGGTGTGGTATTACAGTACCAGTGGTAGAGAGATACAGTCACCCCTACCCCCACCCCACCCACACTAGCCCTGATGCTCAAAGGGACAAGAAGGAGAAAGGAAAGTGACAACAAAGAAATATTACTTGTAGAACTACATTAAATATCACGTTCAAGTTTCTGCAATTAACAGTGTTCCAAATGGTCAGGCAGTCCTAGGTCTAAGCCAACTGCTAGTCCAGAAAAAAAAATTCTGCCTGTGCACGAGTTTAAATTCCTGTCTGTCTACAGACATTCAACCAGCGGCAGACTTTGTCCCTTGTAAGCAAACAGCCACTTGTTGTTTGTCGCTGATCTGGACTTGATAGCACACAAACCTACACAGAACACGGCTGTCCATGTACGATGTCTGACTATAGGAATCTGCCGTAACTGCAGTTTGTAGTTTGCTGAAGCAGGAAAACTTGTACTCTTCGATTTCTCCTTCTTGGCCTAAGTTTTGCCTTAGTTTTGGTGACATGGAGAAAAATGGTCTCATGGAGATTGATATGTTACTCAGAGGTAAATCAGCATTCAGAATTGATCAGTCCGCTTTTGTTTTCTTGATATATAACTTAATCATTTGTTTCTGTACATATCTTCAGTGTTAGTTCCACTTGTAACCATAAAATAACACTGCCTCAAGAGTAATCACAATACAGTCTCAATTCACTTCATGCGCCACTTGCTGTCGGAGTTCATTGTACTATTAAAATAGACATGGGTTGGTATGTCCTGAGGTATTAAATGTGTTTTTTCCCCCCAGCAATACTTCTGCATCCAGTGGGCGGGTACATTTCTCAAAGGAGATGCTCATTTTCTTTAGGAAAAAAAGCAAAAATAATTACAATCTGCTGTCTGAGCCAGAAAAATCCCATCTGGTGTCGGGTTGTGCAGAAGTCCCACGCAACAGTTTGCCTAGACAAGGAAATTGAAATATGTCCGCTGCACCTGTTCAGGCGACAGTCATCCAATCGTGGAGTTGTGAAAAAATCCAAGTTCATTATTGTCAGTTGATGGATAATTAGCCATGGGTGGACTAGAAATGCATGTTAAAGTGAACAAGTGGTAATCCTTGCCTTTAAATGAGATGGACTTTTTTTGGTATTTTGAACCTGCAGGATGTTGTGATGCCTGTTTTATTCAACCTCATTACTAGTGTCTCTGTTGGCATACATACCACTACTGTGCTTGAAAACTTGAACATTACATCAAGAACCGTGTCATGGTTTCCCTCAATACGGGCGATTCACAAAAGTGCGCCTCCAAGAGTTTTTAAAGGATAAGCCAATCACGATGCGCGAAATCTGTCTACCCAGTGCCTGCTTGGAAAGGGTCAACAGATTTTGCACATTGTGATTGGCCAATACGTCGCAAAGTCTTGGAGGCGCACTATTGTGAATTGCCTGCATTGAATCATTCAGTGATTTTTTGTTTTCATTTGCGTGTACATGAACCCATCTTGTTATCTTGGTGAGTGTCGGCTAATTGCATCGGCTGATATCTCTTGTCTGTTGGCTTTTTTGGCCCTTGTATGTCGGAGGAAATCTTTCCCAGGATCACCAGCCGTTAACTTACCGCTTCTTGACTGATGTCCCAATGAGCCTTATGGAGATTGTCCTGGCATGTCAGGAGCCAAAAAAGGACGAGGCACGCGCTGGTAGTTTTAATCTACACGCTGTACCGGCCAACTCTGCTACACCAGGCCTGTCAGTCAGCAGCTCTCCATATTAAGTTTTCGTCACGTCAGGAGAGCAATGCCTGTGCCTTGCCTCTCTTGCCTTGTGTGATGGAGAAAACCAGAGGGGTTAATTAATTCCCAAGTAACTGTACTTTCTCTGTTTACTTGTTTGGCTGAATTGTAGTGTTTTTTTATTCGTGGTATATTTCTGTTATTTTATTTCTTTGTTTTTATTTGTTGGTATTTTGAATTTTTGGGTCGCTTTTCTTGTGTTTAAGAAGTTATTTTATTTTGGAGGGCTTTTCAAATTCTTTTGTGGCCCTTGTTTTTCAGGGTCATTTAGTTAATTATAGGTTGTTTATTTAGGTATTTTTAAAGTTAATAATAAGTATGTCACTGTATCAAGTATAACTGTACTCTGAATATCTTGGGGCATGGCTGAGTGGTTAGGGTTTGTGACATTTGATTAACCACTTCGCGCCTGTGGCAGTTATCAATGTTGATGATGCTGGGGTGGGATAATTATTCTTTTTTCTGTTTTCAAAATTCTTTAAAAATTCCTCTCTTCATTTACTGGTCACTTACACCCACATGAAGGACTGTCTGGTTTCTACTCTACTCTGACAAACGTAATCTATTGACGCTGGAGTATTTCAGCCAGGCCTGCCACCTTGTAAAAAGAGTCCAGATTGTGCGGTGTTACGTAATTTTCTTTTGTTCATGAACCTGGCACAGTGCGCTGCTGATCTCTTTTCAATAGGGGCCAGATTAGCGTGCAGCGGTACTTTGTGGCTCTTCACTGCGATGGTGGAGCACTTTTGTCCCCGGTGGTAATATGCTCGTGCTAAATCCCCAAAACCATGGTATAATGTTTCAAAACAAGGCTGGATTATCTCCACTATTGAGAGTGAAAAAATGTTGGCAATTCCCTGAAGCCTGGTCTTTTGTTACGAGTACGGTCTTCTGTTACAAGGCCCAGTTCCCTTTGTCTGATTTCGGAGACCCCGGCTACGTGTATAAAGAATATGTGTCCTGTATCGGAAACCCCGGCGGCAAGTGGTTAATAGGTCTTGGGTTCAAATCCATCATTTGGTCGGATTTTGTGATCACTGGCGGCAGAAGTGGGGGCCAGCGGCACCCACTTTTTTGACTGGGGGGGGAATGCCTCCCTCCACACTTTTTGCAGGTCCTATGTTGGGGTGGGCTTAATGGATCGGCCAATTAATGGCTGATGCCTGATTGTCTCACAACTGGCCCCCTCCCCCTCTTTGAAAATCGTTCCACCACCGTTGGTCTTGATCTAGAGCGAGTCACTTTACCCAAGCTTGGCTCTCTCTCTGCCCATATACCTGTATTAAAGGGAAGCTGTGAGTGGTTACTTACCGGTATCTGGACTGTCTGGACCTGCAATGGCTGCACTGAGCTCTTCACTTTCCAAGGAGTTGGTTTTAGGAAAGCTTAGGAATAATAAGATGTTTAGTGGTACATGTTGCATCTTGATGACTTATTTGCTTCTAGATATGTTTGCTTTATACACCCATAAATGGAGTGCATATCCACAAACAGTATTATTATATCCTTTTGAGCAAGTATGGATTTCTTCTTCCAAAGTCTAGGTAGCACAATAGCTACCCTTTCTCTGTGGAGAATTTGCCAATCTGTTCAGAGTCTCTGCTGGTTTTGAGCTTTGTCTACCACCTAGAACAACAGGCTGTGTTTTTCATGCTTTGCATTGACAATTTGCTGTTAGCCTCTGAGTGTGTGTGACTGTTTTATCAACCTACCATACATGTACATGTACATATGTGTTATTTGCTGCTTACTAGATGTATCGTATGACTGTTGAGTTGAATATTCTCCTTCAGGCTCCTGAGACCCTCATGTTTTTGACAAATTCGTGGAGACTTACATGTACCTGCACATTTTCAGGTTTTTCAACAAAGGTTGAGATGGTTTTCAAATCATTTTAGAGTGGCAAGTCTTCTGTCAGCAGCCATCTGGGGGCCAGTCTAGTGTCATGTTAAGTAATTACACTTTCTAGAAGGTCTTAACTTCTCAGCAAGCACTATTGCTGCAAGATATTCCTTCCCTCTGAATTGTCATCACGTGCTTGCTCTCACCTGTGAACAAGTCTCTTTTTTCCTTTCATATCATTTTTTGTTGTGCTCACATTGTAGCCTCCATTGGTCACTGATGATGTGCACAAGTTAAGTGGCTAATCGAAGATGGCATCGCTTCCACAATTAAGTCATGCTTTCATTTTTAGATAACGCCCCTTCTTTCCCCAGTTTTGTGGGACCCTGACACAAGTTTCCTTCTGACTCATCAAACAACGCTGCCTTCCTGTGGACAGACAAAAGGTATTGGTTCTAGCTGAGTTGTTTGTTCAAGTAACTCAAGTAAAACAAACGCTAATTCAATTAAGAGCTATAACTTGAATTGATCCATTTAATAGAAACAACAATGCCATGAGCAGTTAGGGGAATTGTCATTGGACTGAAGCCGAATGGAAATACAATGTTATATTTTTTTAACCATGCAGCGGTCGATCAATGTCTCTGACTATAAGCAAACATGTACCAACGCTGACATTGGAACCAGGTTTAATAGACTCTATACAAAGCTGTCTTGTATGTCTCTGATATTTACACATGCGTCAGGGGAAATGAATACCCCAAGATAGAAAAGGTGAAGAGGAGATAAAAATCAGCTTTGAAGAGTAATGTGATATACATGTATACATGTAGGTTGGTTGACAATTTAATTCCAAGCCCTAAGAAAAGTGTGTTAATTATGCACCAATGTGTGTATTTCAGAAGGCTGTGTCAAGCAGCGTTGTGAAACCAGTGCATAGTACATGTTAAGAGAGAAAAAAATTAGATTAAAATGAATACATGTACCGTGAAAAATTGGTCAATTCAGTCCAAGAATAAAATGGTTTGATTGGGCATTCTGCAGTAAATTCAGATAACAAAGTTGTCGGACTGGAACGTTTGCAATTTTACACCGGCATCCTTTTTGGGTCACACGTGACAAAATATGAATTAAGGAGATTTTCAACACCCATGTGGCATTGTAGTAGTGGACATTAAAGATGGGGATATCTGAAATGGAAAAAAAGATACCACGTTTTGTACACATGCATTTATTAGCAACTACTAATGGAACTTGTGTTAATACATGTACAATCATGCCTTGCAATGTCAAATTGAATGCCACTGCATGCTGACTGGTCGTTGTTAACTGCATTGTTTATTGCATGATAGTTAAGGTAAATCAGTTCATACATTATTACACAGACAAAATAAAACTCACATTTACCTTTCTTAGCAAGGGGGGGATAGTCAAAGAGACTTGGGGGCACACTACAAATTATTCATGCATCCAAACACAGCACATGCATTTGGATAATAGAGTTATAAAAGGTTGGCCAAAAAGGGAGGGGGGGAAGAGAAATGTAAAGTGTCACTGACTGGCCATCCGTATGACCGTATGGATGTTTTATTAAAGACGGGTAGCCACGTTGAAGCCATTAGGGTGTGAATTCGATCTCCCCTCCCTAGGGGGAATGTCAGTCCAGGTAGATGAGTGAGCTAGAGAGAGGGAGAGAGACAGGGGGAGCGGTGGAACTGTGGAACAGTGATCTCCCTGTCCCATCAGCTGTAATGCCAATCAGTTTTTAGCCTTCATTGCTGCCCTGTTCTCCTGGACACCATCATGAATTATTCATGTTTGCTCGCACTGATTCTAATTCAGGACTTTCCTCCTTCAACTCCCCCCCCCCACAGTTTCCCCAAATTGTATTCCTGCCCAACATTATGCACTGTATCTTTTTTTTTCAAAGTTTTGCCCCCTCTCCCCCTCATTTTTGCTTCTTCTTGTGGCTATCATTTTACTCTAGATACCAACATCCTATCATCTAATTTTTCATGCTACATCTATCTCCTTTCCTTCTTTCTTACTCCACCCCCAGCTGTATTCCTTGCTTCATCTTATCTTTTCCCTTTCTCTCATATATCATTCCATAGCTTTTTCATTCTTTGAGTACCCTAGAAATTCCCTCTTTTTCTTATATCTCACTGCTGTGGTTCTTTCTTTCTCCCTTTCACCCCCCTCTCCCATTTCTTCCCTAAGATTGGTTTCATCTCCTTGTTTTTGTTCCTCACAGCTGTATTGCTCACCTTCTTTCCACCCCATCCATGCCGCACACCTGAAGCAGCAGTTCATCCCCAACTCCCCCCCATCCCTTGTTTCTTGCCCTTCCCTTTAGCTTCAATCCTTGCTTCATCTCCCTCCATCCCCCACTTCCCATCCCAACTTCATCTTTCATGGTCTCTGAGCCTGCTCCTCCTCATTTATCTTCATTTTCCTCCGATTGGCCACCCCAGACATGTCAGTTTGTTCCACTCTGGCTGGTCAGACCCTCATCATTATATGAGACCTTGGGGTGTTTCACCTGGCTATAAATATTTCCAAATGTTGTCCTTGGGATGTCGGCATCTGTATACATGTATTTGCCAAGTTACAAGTAGTATTAAAATACCTACTCTGTACCATTGGACCTCAGATGCTGGCGAATTAGCACAGATGTCCTGTTTTGCCATAGATATTCACAGTCCTTAAATTTTACATGGATCACTATTCACTTTTCTGTGATTTTATATGTCAAACTCTGTTTTCTATGCAGCCTGCAAAAACGAAGGGCGCGTTTGATTCAGATGTCTTGTTTTTTATTTAAGAGGATTTGTTGGACATTTTTTCAAGGAGAACAAATGTTCAAAGCAGATCTTAAAAAGCTACAAGGGAAGTTAGCCATTGTAAATGAAGTCAGAAAAATGATTGCTTTTCATTTTATCACCAAACTGCTTTTCATAACTTTTGCATAACTGTTTTTAGACATTTTTGTCCACAATTCAGTAGACCCATCTATGTATTGGATATATTTTCATTTCGTTTTAAGTCAAAAAATCTTAATCACAGTGTATTCTTTGACTTCTTATCCCAGATTAAAAGTTGAACTAGTTACCTCCTGTGATAAAAACAAATAGCATTCTGATCTAGTTTCTACTTCTGCTTGAAATGGAGTGCACCGTAGACATTTACCTGACAAATTTGTGCGAGCCCAGTCAGCAACATGGTTGCAGTCCACAAGAAGCCCACTGACGGCAAAGTCATCGGGCCATTGGCGGCTGTCGCCAGCGGACCACCAGTGGCCGGCTCGGCGTCGGTCCAACAGCGCTTAGCCATCGGCTGCTGTCAGAGGGCCACTGGAGCGCCACTTTTAATTCAATATAGTATAAGTTGTAACTTATACAAGAAAAATGGAACCCATTATGGAATGATTTAACACGGGACGATAAGTGCTAACAAAAATGAATGTGCAGCAGTATGCAAATTTTGAGTGCCTTTCTTTTGAATTATACATCAACCATTCAGATTCTTTAGGTGATTACGTGGTCAAAGCTGAACCAAGGACTGTAATCATCATTTTACATCTTCATTAAATGACCCAACAGTAAAGGCAAAAAGTGACATATAAACGGTAATGTTATCAAAATACATACCAACATTTCAACTAATATTCACCTGTACCACAGCATTACAAGAAAATGATGGTATTCAATTTGGCAGTGCTTCATTCATTTTGGGATATTACTTGATACTAATGTGATAAAGTTTAAGGAATACGCAAGCCATTACTTAACAATTATAAACATTATCAAAGCAGTTATTACGTTTAAATACCGGTACTTTAAAACCAACTGATAATTTTGTTAGTCTAAAACACAACATTGAATAATTTGGATCAATTTTCCTTCAAGAGGATTTCATGGAGAACTAATGGCAAGACATTTTATGCAAACAAATGCTGGCAAGCCAATGGATTTCATGGTCCTTGAGTCCAATGAACTGAAACGTCCCTCAGTTCCAAAAGTCTGTCTAAGAGAATACTGGTCAAAGTTCCCATCAAATGCCGTGTTATGCCACCAACGTGTTACAATATAATAAAAGTTCCAGAAGTGTTACACTTATGAAAGGTCCTGTGAATCTTCTGCCAAAGCGTTCATTTTATGCTTACACATGGAGCGGGGAGCAGTTGCAGCAGCATATGCTCAGGTCTTTCTTTTTGTCCTCTGCATCAGTCTGCAGCACCCTTGAAGAAATGGGCCACTTCTTTCTGTATCTCAGTTTCTGTTGACATGGAGGTAGGCCTGCTCCTGAGGATGGCTTCTCTAAAAACAAACAAACAAACAAACAAATACCAACGGCAAATCTCACAGGTCAGAAAACCATGGCCAGCTGAGATGGACTTATTATCGATAGGTAGTGAGTGAAAGCTGTGGGAAAGATTTCCATCCACAAAGATCATGACACCCTGGGTGTACAGTATGCAGAAACCCCATGAGACTGGTCTGACAAATCGTAATGTGCAAATTGTAATGCACTGCAGGCAAAAACTTGATCTTTTAATATGGACATCTTACCCTGCTATGCTTTTAAATTCTCAGTACATGTATACATGTAACTTTGAAAGTTCAAAAAACACTTCTGACAGTAAAAAAAAAAGTGCATGGCAGGTACGGTAAGACATAATTCCAACAGTCTTGTTTCAATGTGGAAGTGCATATGTAGTTTAGACAGTTGATGCTAACTATAAAGGGAAAACACTAAAAGCAATAGACAGCATGAAAACCAGTGTGTTTTGATTTGAATTAAAACTTACAGGTTACTTACATTGCAGGATGCCCTTGATCTGTGTAATGCCTTCAAGGCTCTCTCGCAGCCCAGCCCTGTCCAATTCAACTGCCTGCAGATGCTGTTGTCTACAGCCCCCCTCCAAAATCCTGTGCACAGCTTCGTATTTTGTGAATCTTCCAGCAGATCTAATCTGAATTACAGTGAATGAATTTACAAGTTGAATAATACTGTTGAGAATGTATCAAATGTTTGATAAAAAATATCTAAACCTACTTAATAACAGCTGACTAGGCCTGGGCCTAGTCAAAATAAATGCCAGACGCACATCAGCATCAGGCTGTGGCATGTCTAACATCATGTCAGGTGGCATATAGGAGTTTGAAGGCATTTGAGGGATGAAATCTGATGGTTTGTGTTGGGTGGTTGTTGGTGAGAATCAGAGAAATACTGGGCCTGGCTTAACAGGATTAAAGTGTGCAGTGGCATGTATTTCGGAAGATATCTGAAACTGAAGTCATGTTTCTCAAATGTCTGCATTTTCAAAATGTTTAACATCAGCATTCTCTGTTGGGGCAGAGCCGACATGGCAACGGAAATAAGACAAATTTTAAAAAGAGAACCATGTGTGTAGGCCTAATTCTAGTATAACTGTGTGCTACACAATCAACGACTGACATCCTGATTTGATGGCCATGGTGCCAGAACAGTCACAAACATCAACGTTATTTTTGTTCCTCTAACATTCTGATATAAATGAATTTATTATTATGATAGCCCTCCTGTGGAAATAACTCTCTTGAAATAATAGATCCTTTGAAATGTACATGTAGATCCTTTGAAATTTAGATCCTTTTTGTGAAGTGTTCAAGCAGAAATTTGCAGCTTTGATTCGCAGGCCAACTGAGGGAGTTGGAAACAATATGATGGCGCTGACACATAGGCCTACTTGTACTTTTGTACATGCACGACCCAGCGTTTCGTTATGCGTGTACAGTGTACACGCATTTTACAAAACTCCCGGTCCCGCCTTTTGTCAACCAGTTGGATGGGGGTGGTTGTCCACGATCGCACGGCAATCGCCTAAACGCGGTACATGTGTACAACGTATACATTATACTGTGCGGCACTCTAACTGATCTTTGTGTACATGTAATTATCGCTAGCTGCGGGTCAAAGAATCAGACAATGGTAGACTTGTCCCGTGTCCTGCTTACTCAACACTCTAATGAGATGCTTGGCTAGGCTGGAAGTAGAGTAAAAGCCTGTTGACGTGTATAGCCTTTCCAAGCCGCAGCCGCCAAGTCGGACAAGCACTTAAGCCCGTATTGCAATTCCATGTTCTACACCAAGCCTGCATCGATCCCGTCCGGTCGACCCTAGGCGCCCAGGATGCGGTATAGTCTACGTACGTGTATGTTGCTGGTCGTTTCGTACACGGCACAGCGTGCAAAGATGGTGCGCTAGGCTGGTTCACAGCCTGTAGTTTACTGTGGCCATTTTACAGCTTGTGCATAAAATAAAAGGACAAATTACAGTCGCTTCAATTATTGAACATTTATTTTACGTACATATGTGCAAATATATATACATATAATATGCTGATCGATTGTATTTCAATCGGCATGATCTGTCATCGCTCAATGGTGGCCCGATGGTGACCTGAATGTGGCCCGACAGCAGCCTGACAATAGGCTTTAGGCCTATGGCTACAAAAATCATATTTTTGTAAACAATTTATATATCAGAAGCTGATTGTCTGTTTTGTCAGTGTGAAAGATGGTGAATTTTGAATTTCGGGCAGAGCAAAATTTCAACCACGTGGTCCACCAGCGGTCCTCCGTGGCAGGCTGGATACTTGACAACGGTTGATTGTCCAGTGGCTGCCACCAGCTGTCCACTCTTGGTTATCAGGCAGCTTGCCACTGCTGCCCTGCCACTCCTCAGCCGCTGGTGGGCCCCCATTGGCTTGCACACTGGCATGGGAGCCACTGAGAATACTAACTTACTTCAGCTGTAACTTTTCCACCTGCTGCTGACTTGTAGACAACAGAGGGCGCAATTCATCTTCTGTGTGTTTCATGGCTTCATGGGTGTCTGAAAGCTGCCTGGGACACTTTACATGTAATTATTATTATTTGGCCAACAAAAGAACACTTAAACAAAAAAAATGCAGATGGGAGGGGAAGGTCAGTAAAGGATATGGGGGGGGGTTGAGATATGGAGGTGTGGAGTTGGGTTGGGGAGTGGTGGGGGTGGGTGAAGCACAGAATCAATGACAAAAGTATTTCAAGCTGACCGGGGTAAGCAAGAATGTACTGGAACACAGTAACCCGAAAGCCAGCTCATCGAAGCTTGAAATGTCTGTACAAACCAATTAAAAAACATATAGGTTACAGTATGGGATGACAAAGTTAAGATTAAAGAAACATAAATCATTTTAAACCAATTATAAAAAGGCTTTAGCTGATTTTTTAAAGAAAAAATTAGATAGTTGGAAAATACATGGAAAATATGTGTAAATATATATTAAATATGATCAAAAGAAATGTTAGAGAAAAAGAAATGCAATACATGTATTAGGGGCTTCTGTTGCATACAGCTTTTTGGGATACATACCGGTGCATGTACAAATAACAATGAGTATTCTTACTAGGCACCTCCCCGGTACCCACCAATATTGGCTCTTGAGATACATGTACATGAAGTTCATCATTATTACCCCTGCTCATCAGGCTATGAACATTATTACAACCCTGGCATCTCCTTTATTGCACATGAAGCTCAATAAATTGCAAACACCATCTCTGCCCTTGTAGGTACCGACTGGCTTCATTCACTTGTAGGTACCGATTGGCTTTATTCACAAGTCAGCCATGTTGGAGGCACTGAATTAAATTTTGGTACAAGTTAATGTCATTTATATCGATAAATGAGTTAAAGTTTGTGATTTATAAATGTTCTAAGTTAGATTTATATTTTTAAAAAAATGAAAGTGAGGCATGGAACACCAAACAGTCTGACACCACCCCCTTTCAACAGATTACATTGAATAGGATAAACTCAGAGAACATGATGATCACAAATGGCTTCCCTGTGCAAAAGGTCTATTCGGACAGTGTTTTGTCCAAGGACATACTCAACACCAAGCCGTAGATTGGACTTGAGCCCACAACCTCCAGATGCTCACAGATCTTGAGTTCAGTGCTTAAGTCTATATGACCATTGTACCTTGGACTGTTACAGTGGACAAGTACACAATGTGTTGTGATGTCATTTCACAATACAACCAATTTTTAGTATTTAAGTAGATCTAGTTCTTGTGCCAGTCACGTGTCACTGCCTGATTTATTTTCAACTGAAGTGCATAGTCCCATATGGGGACATTGCTAATTTTATCGAAAATGGTACATGTACATGTACATCAACCATGAGGAAGTGATAGCATGTCCTAAAATGTCAGATTTAGCAAGGAAAATATTGAAGTGTTTACTCAGAGAATACTTTGATTTTTTTAGACCAGTCTCATAGGGTTTGTATGACAAGGTGTCAAGTGGTGTCTGTGTATGGAACTCTTTGTGTATTTTTGTCCCTGAGTCATGGAGGCCCAAAATGTTGTAAGGAAGAGTTCAGTAATGTACGTTTATCATTTGTAGCCTTGGGTAATACTGTACAATTTTTCACCAAATGTGTGGTCACACATTCATATTTGTGGTGTGTATATCCCCATTAGGTTTTTGGACAAATTGTGACCCATGATCCCAAAACCAGACTGAAGTCGGTAATTTTATAACTAAAATAGTGGAACTTCCACTGTTTAGATTTTCATGGGAGTTTCACAGCTATTGCTACCCGTAAGAAGCTTACTGCAGACAGAATTTCGGATCACTTTGAAGTGTAAAAAAAAGCCGAAGGAGAGGAATTGTCCAACATCAAAAATACCGACTTCAGCCTGGTTTTGGGATGGTGGGTCACAATTGTCTTCATTATACAGTGGTGGGAAAATCTTAAATGGACAGTTTTGACTCAAACCAATGTTACTGCTGTTAACATAAAACTACCTATAAGTACCAGTACTGAAATTCATCCTGTAGTCAACAGAGGGCCTCCTTCACTTCTAGTTGAGGGCAAAGACAGCAAATTCATCTGTTCAGATAGGAAATATGCAACAGTGCCCTCTGTCTCTAACAACTTTCCAATTCACGTACCTGATAAATGGGGAAGTTTTATGATGTTCCTTTTTATTCTTCATACATGATAGAAGTGCTCCACGTAGTCGCAGTTATTGGTGATTGATGTGGAATTCTAATTGAACAGTCAATGCCATCCTTCTGATGTGATAATATGCCGTGTATTTGTTTTGTGTGTGTGTGATTCCCTGAAACATGATCACTCTCTCTCTTCTGGATCTTAGAGAACTTGATCCTCGGTATGGTTTGATTGATCTTTGCTTAGGAGATCCTGAAGTCTTTGATTGAATCCTGGACATGGGACATATGTGCAGTACTCTGTTTGTAGCATGTGTAATAATACCAGCATTGAAAGAGCCTGATTACTGTAGGAAGGGGATTACCTTAGCAAGCCAATCTTTTTGCCTGCTGTGTTTGGAGGCTGGGAAAGTAAAAAAGATTATCTGATGATTATCCTTCCACCTCTCTTCTATAAAGCTTTTTTTAAAGTTTCCAAATATTCACACAGACTTCTCATCCTTCTTTTGATTTGATAGCATCAAGGTTTAAATCCTGTTGTTTATTTTTTCCAAATTAGCCATGCTCCCTGAAGGAAATTTGAAAAATATGGGTCTTCCTATTTTCTTTTGGCTGAAATGACTGAGAACATGTTTTCCTTCCGGATGGGATGTAAGTCAATATAGCCATCGCTATTATCAATTTGTTCTCCTTGGTATTAGTAGATAGAGGTAAAGCGGAGTAAAATTGCTTGCTCGAGGCAGTTGGATTCTCACCTTTGACCCTACAGCTTTGCATATCACCAAGAAATTGCTGTGTAAAATGCAGAGTCCGTGTGCCAGTAAGTTACTTTTGTGACGTCCTGTTGAATGTTATTACTAAACTCCCTCATTTTTCTGTCCATGATCGGGCAAGTGCTGTATTAAAGATACATACCAGCAGAAGCTGTCCCAGACATTCCAGAGGTTTAATGATGTATTTTGCTAATGACCTTGTCACTGCATGCTCCTACCATGTGGTTCCTCACTCAGTCCCCCCAAGAAGATTTTGCCTGTGTAGCCGCTGTCGACCCTTTCCTCCTCCATTTTGTATTAGTACATTTTAATGGACTCACTCCATACATTGTCAGGCATGAAGCTTCTTACACAGCAGTTTACACGTACATGTACTGGTATGCCTTCTTGATGTCATAGTTGCTATATTAAGTTTGTTCATTAACTCATAAGCCTTCCAGATGCTTTACAGTCCACAAGGAAAATTGGAAGGCTTTAGCTGGATTTCATCTTCATGTAATAGGCATGTAAATGTAGAGGCCCTGCGGCTTCAGGAAGATTACTATAAAAATTGCCCGGGGAGTTAAAGAGTTGCATTTTGTTCATGCTGTGAAGCCTCAAGTTGTGCAGTTTGTCTTGTCATAATCTGCGTTGAGCAGAAGTACCCCCTCATTGGTTCAAAAGACCATGTTGGTCGGGAGTGTTTATTTTGTTGGTATAGCGATGCGACCCATAATGCATGCATTTCATAGTCGTTCAAAGTTTGTGAACTGGCAAAGTTCTGTTAAAAGGAACCTCTGTTGCCAGGAAAATTGTGCCCTTTCTTGGTCCGCTCTATATCTAAAAAAAAGCCCACCCTAGCTGTTGAGATTTTTAGCAAATAAAGATATAATAATACTCTACACATTCATGCATCTAACTCAAAAAGCTTGAAAATGTGACATAACAGTTTCATGCATGGGGCCACAGAATTAGTATAATAATCTTGAAGATCAACAGGGAAATTGACTGGAGTGAGATTTGAACCAGCAATCTCCAGAAAACCAGACTGGTGTTCTACCAATGCAGGCGTTCAGTTCTGTGTTGATGGTTCCTCCCATTTGTCAATAATTGACACAGTAGCTGAGATCGGATTGATAAAAAAAAAAGCACAGGTATTCCAGAAGATGCAGGATCAAATCCAATGTACATGGACATGTATGTCGGATATCTACATTTTGGTGTTAGGTCAGTGAGGTTGTCATTTCTTCCTCAAAACTGAAAAAAATTATGCTTGTGTGCCTTCATGGTGTTAAATCATAATTTGCATCAACTGTGGACCTGAACTGACAGCTTATCCAATTTGCAATTGTTGTCATTTCCCACAACAGAAATAAGACGCTGTGGCGAAGACACCTCATTCCTTCCTGGCATGAATACAAATCTGTTCCGTTTGATCCCATCAGTGTTTCACAGAGGACGACAATGACAAATAATGTGAGAATCCTGCCACAACACTTCCAACATCTCTGTCTCGTTGGCTGATTGGAATACCTTTGGTCTAGCACGTTTTCAAGATGCTGGGGGTCGTCTATACCTAGGCAAGAGCCTGGCAGTCTGATACTGAAATCTATTTATTAGGCTCTCGCAGCTGACACCTGCACCAGTTTACAGCCTGCAAATTAAATGAGCTCGCTGTCTTCTGTTTCCTACTCCTTCGGCCCAGGCCAGTGTGTTGAACACTGTCCCCAGTGCTCTCTGATAGATGTTGACAGGTTTGGAGCCTTAAAGCTGAGACAGAAAGTGCCAGTCTTAGGACTAGGGAGAAGTTCATTCTCAAAGCTGAGGGATTGGTCAGATGAAACCATAGAGCTAGGAATGAGGTTAACCAGGGCTTTGTAACGAGGGATGATGGGGGGTTGATGCAGTAGTCAATTCTTGCAGTTGTGATGGTGATAATTATAGTGATGATCACAATGTAGTAATTGTGAGACTGGAATTAAGGATGGTAGTGGTGATGTGGTGAGGGTGATCGTGGTGATATGTAAAAAGAATGGTGATAATAATTGTGATTGAGATATAGGTTGTACATGTAGTAGACTTGCTGGTGAAGATTGTTGTGATTATAGCAATGGCTATGATTATGATGATAGTGGTGATAATTGGAGTGATGGAGATGACAACTACTGATGTAGTGGTGGTTGGAATCGTGCTTGATGGTCAGTAACACTGTGCCGTTGATTTTCTTGCAATAAACTGGTATGTGCACATGTACCATATGTTGGTATCAGTAGACAAACGTACCATTATGGTACATGTATATTGATCAACAGATGAGAGATTACATGTTGACGATTCATATGGTTTTGTAATTGTTTAGCATAATGCCACATTCAATGACAAAAGGGGTTACTTACCATAAGAGGTACTGTAATACGAGATACATGTACATGTGTACTTCAAAGGATGCACCCATATACCTGCATGTGTTGCAATATAATATGAATCTGGCATACTCACTGTACATGTGTACTTCAAAGGATGCACCCATATACCTGCATGTGTTGCAATATAATATGAATCTGGCATACTCACTGGCTACATTGTGGATTTGCATATATACCTGTACATGTACACCGTAAGGCATGAGCACTTTGCAGTACTTTTTCTATGAAGACTGCAAGAGTGGCGTTATATTAGGCCATAGGGTATAGATGAATCCGTCAACCTTTACACTGGGCCATCCCGATTGCCCCCTTTAATGGCACAAAGTAGTGTGTTGGGTTTTGTCACAGTTTGCTTTATTTTGCAATTTGAAACAAGTAAGTAAAGACATAAGAAATATAGTTCTAATTTTCTTCGTATCAAATCAGCTGCTGATTGCAAAAGCATTATGGTAAACATGCCTTCACGGTGACGTGGGGGAAAATCCCTTGCGGGATTCCCCTAAATACCCAGCTATGGGCTGCAAGAACTCTGCTCACTGCACTTGCTACGCTTGGTAATCCAAAAATTTAACCGGCATTAAAATGGTCCTAGCTAGAACACTGATGGCGGATAAGCATTGTGACAACTGTAATAGTAGCTCAGTTCAGTTCATTTTTTGGAAAATCCTTGCTGGGTGGCACAGCCAATTTGAACCTAAGAGCCGGGCGGAAATTTCTAGTACCGGGTGGTGCTGCTCGGCACCGCCCACCGTGGCTAGAATACTGTCCGCTGTTAGCAGAGTCCATTGTAGATGACTTGTGATGGGTTGCTGTACCATGGTCACCAAATTTCCTTTGTACATTGCTTGGACTGTTCCAAACAGTGGCAAAGTTGATGGAGAAGTGCCTGCCAGTTGTGCATAGCAAGCATGAAATGAAGAGACCATTAGCCATGTACAGTTGTACATAAACACCAACCAACGTTTAGGTACGAGCCTGGCGAACTGACCAACACTGTCTTGACCAATCGACCCCTTGCTTTAAAGCAGAGTCAGGGGTGTTTGTTATTTTAATTACAATGAATGCCCAAAAGGTTTACTTAAGCCTATCCTAGAGGAAGAAAGAATGGCCCTCTAACGTGATGTCATATGCAGGGGGTCTATGCTTTGCCCATGTCTCCCATATTGCCCCAGTCCCCCCCCCCAATCATGCTTCTAGCACAACAAATCCTCTCACCTGGACCTCAAGCTCCCACTCTGATTTTACATTTATTATTCACACTACCCTCTTTGCATGATTCAAGACTCGCCCGTCTGGAAATCTCAGGGCTGGAAAGGTCTTAGAAAGCCTCCCTCTGTCAAAAGAACACAATTGCTATGCCCCCCCCATCTTGTGTGGGAGATAGAGGACTGTTTTGTTTGCTGATGCATCCCAGGTAATGCTAAAAACCTCAATTCTTTACATCCAATTAAGTGGGGAAATCTATTGTCCTCAGCCTGGTGTGCAGTAGATGCACTGGTGAAGGCCTTGCCTACTGTGCACTGTGGTGTAGATTTCTGGGATGTTTGGCCTTTTGCTTTACAGAATTAGCATACCACTAGCTTACAAGGCATAATTTGGCCAAGCCTGGCACATTACTGCCTTGTATTAAGTGTACATTGGATCATTGCAAAGCCAATCCTAAATTGAACTTAATACAGGTTAAGTGTATTCTGTGCTGATCCTCTCAACCCATGTATCTACACATATTACGGCTGTAATCCTACCTGGTTGGAGGATTATTTTTCTCCAGTTTTTGTGTCAGCACCATCGTTACTTCTTTTCGGCAGCATTTTCACCTGTCTAGCTCCATCTGTCACCAACCCTGGTTTACCCTTTTGGCTTTGTGGCAAAGGCTACCATTGGATATCCCTGCTAAGGAACATAAAACCACGAGCACATACACCCACGCTGCCTGCAGTGAAAGCTAATAGTACATGTAAGTGTGCAACTTGGCATTGGATGGATGTTTACTTGAAGTACTGGGTTGGACTCCTTTTTTTGAGAGAGAGAGAATTGCGCTTCAGAATAATACCTGCAATTTCTTTTGGGATTTGTCAAGAATCTCAGTGGGGCAAATTGTGCAGCGTACATGTGTAATCCCCTTGCTAGGAAATGTCAATCTTCTCAATCTAGTAGAGACGACCAAAGGAGCAGTGACAGGAAGAAAATATCAGTAGGAAACTGGTTTGCCCCAAGATGGTTGACTTCATGAAACACTTCGTGTTCAGTGTTAAAGTGCCTGAAGAAGTGCTCTGCAGTGGCTGTTCTTCAGTTGTGCCAAACTGAAAGGAAAGAGTTGCTATCGAAAGACATGAAAACATTTGAACTGGACCAGAGGAGTGCTGTCTTTGAGTGAGCTGTGTGTTGCCTTGGAAACTACCATTGATGTTTATTAATGGTGTAATTCTCTTCTCATCTTGAAAATAAAGTGGAAACTTAGATTCTGCAGATGGTGCATTTTCCTGTGTCAAACCTCTGCATTTGGACAGTTATGAGATAAATTTGTCAGCCGAAGCTGTGAAGTCTTGGAAGCAGAATTTGGACTTTTGACTCTGAACTTCACGCCAAGCTGGCATTTTAGATGGGCTTATATGTCAGCTGGCACACATTCCAAGTTGAGCGATGCCTTCAGAGACTGATTAGAAAAAAAAATAGTAACTGGCAAATATGGGCATGATTTATGTGAGGACATAATGCCAGATTACAGCTACTATTATCCTCAAATTTGCTGGGTTAAGACTTTGTGAGTCGGGTCATCTGTGCTGAAATTACACAGGAAGTCGTTTTTAAGCCTACCTGCATAAGTTGGTAATTACCAGAGGGCAAGGTGAAAACAAAATTGGAATTACCACAACTCATCAGCAAAACTGAATTTTTGCAATGTTTGTGTTGTGTGGTTTATACAAGTGAATGCCTGTACACCGGTACATGTTCCTTCTATTGCCAAGCACTGCACATAGACATGTATACTGAGGAAAACATCTTGTATGTATCTTGACTGAGGCTTTGATGCCATTGCAAGACTCTGGAATCAAAACATACACGTAAAAAAGTATGGATGACTCATTGCTATGGTAACTCAAGCCATTTTGTTTTACAACCCAGAGGGGGGGAGAATAAAAGACAGCCATACGGTGCAGTGTAACAAAAGTAGAACAAAGTCTTTGTGGACACGACTAGCTGACTGCACCATTAGCCTCTATGGACATCCTTCTTACCTGCCAGATCACAGCGAGACGTAATTTACTCACGTCGGCTCGTGCCACTGTTGTCATTCGTCAAGATTTCTTAATTTATATGTCCGTGACTGTTGGGATAAATGCCTTGCATCTCTGAGAGACTTAAGATAATAGGCGGGGAAAGCCCGTAGAGCACTGTACACATGCATGTGTGCGCCGGTGTGTGTATAGTGCCGTTGCAGGCGGTACATTTACAAGTCATTGGCGTGTTGTCGTCCCTGGCAGTGATTGGGACGATGTAAGGCTTTGGCATGCTGCAAGCGCGGCTCAAGAATATTCGCATGAGAGTGTATTCCCCCCTTGTGTATATTTTGTGCCAGAGCAGCCGGCTCCCAGCCCTACATCAGCTTCACGTGCAACAAGCCAGTCCCATCCACCCTAATGTACACACAACACAACTGTGCCAGCATCACCTCCTGTGGGCTTGCGTCTTCACTAATTCCACACTGACTCTATTTCCACAGCGGTAAAATATTGAGCTGTTCAGCTGCAGGCTATAGCCAGTGTCATAGGCGATATTACCACAACGTACATTGGTACAGCAAGGGGAACCTTGGTCTCTCCAGTACATCCAGCAGCAACACCCAGTGATGTACAGTCAAGGCACAGCGTTTCCTTTTTCTTTTATTTCCATTTTTTGGGGGTTATCTATCTTACTGCCGGCACACAATTCTCAATGAGAAATGATTATGCATTCCTGTGGACAGTGGTGAAGTATTTCTAGAGGGAGTATATTATTGCATGGCCACTGAAGAGCCCATGCATCACTTGTGTGCTGGATAAGAGTTGCAGAATTCCAACTATATCTGTTGCTGCATTTAGCCAAGATCCATCTGCAGTTGCTTTTTTCTCCTCCCCGTCTCCATCTCATTTTCCCGGTCAGAAGTTTCAATCCATTGGAGAAGCGTCTCGAGCGGATTAATTTGTTCCTTTTTTTCTGCGGCGGAGTAGATTGACTTTGAAAAAAGAGAGAGACAAAAGCGAGGATTTTTCCCATATGCCACCTGTGAATGCCCAGCCGAGGGTTTCCAGTCGGCTTACGCTGCCTTCTTGGTGTCGGGCGCGTCGACAGCGGTGCAGTAACGGCTACAATCTCATGATGACAGCCCAGGGGATCATCAACCGACCCCTGTTTGTGCCATGTACTTCGGCTCTGGTCATGGCGCTGAAGGACAAAGCACAGAGTGTGGTGGACATGGTCATGGTTGGTCAGTATACCATTTGTTTCAATTTCTGTCCATTTTATTAACTATAGTATCTTCCCTATTGTGGTACCTGAGTTGTGACAGGTTCCCAATACTTCACCGCATAATGCAGGCAGGAAACCGTCAAGGGTTGGACGGACCTTTTTGAAAAATGAAGTTTGACCTCTTACTGAAGGAATACTGAAGACAGAAAATTCATTTTAAAAATCTTTGTAATCCAAATAAAGCTTTGAGTGCGAGTTGGAAGCAGCTGACCACTGTTAAGTTGCCTATGGCAGTAATTTCTTGTGAGGGCTTAGGGTTTGGGCAGTTTGCTGTGTAATGTGTGATTTCAAAACTCTGACTTTTGTTTTATGTGGTTTAAAAACAAAACTTTCATCTCTGCACAGTCCCAACTGTTACAGTAATGGTTGCCTTTTTTTTAACCAAACCCCCAGAGAGTATAACACTACACTCTTGTTCACTACCACATTTTAGTTAGCGTGCATAAAGAGAAAAACAAAAACAAAAAACCTATTGACATTTTTTATCATGTCCCTAACAAGCTTGGTTATAAATTGACCACTGTAATTAAGTGGAACAGCTGTAGCAGTTAATATTTTGACTTTAACAACAAATGCTTTTTAGATAGAGTATTTGCTTTTGTAAGGACATTTACATAATACATCAACAAGAATGCCATGATCTGCAACAATGTGTCTGTTTACACATAACACAACCTTCCCTGCCAGTGAAAAACTACTTATGTGACATGTCAAAATTTTAGTGCAAAGTTATTTTCCCTGTAATTGTTTAAAAACACACGTGGGCTTGAACCTGTTTGAGAGTGTAATGTACACTCTTCAAACATGCTTTAGTTAGCAGATCAATTCTTCTACTGCCCACATGAAGTCCTTATTAATATCATAAACCAGTGAATTAATAAAGAGAAGGGAAGTCGCATCCGAGGAGAGTAGGTGGAAAAAGAGAATGGGAACAAAATCAATAAATGTCCACGTGTAAAGAGCCGTGCATATTAATTGAAGACTGGCTCTTCCCTCCCCCCCCCGGCAGCTTTGCCAGAAACCCCTAAAACGTATTAATTTCATTGACCGTCTTCTTATAGCCTGTGTACTACAGGACAAACAACAGGTTTTATTGTTGTGAAGAATTCTGGAAGTACGTGTCCGTCTGGTTTGGGATGTGATCCCAGTGGACTTGGCATAAGATTAAAGTTGAGGGAGATCTTTTTTCCCCTGTCTGCTTTAATTGATGTAATATCTGCTAATAGAACTGTGGAATTTCTCAAAGTACACGTACCTAGAGAATGCACTTCAGCTTGCAAGCTTGAAGAAATGCCAGTGACAGAAGGAAATACCAGTGTGCCATGTTGGAGGGTTTAAAAACCCAGAACTATGCTGAATGCCTTTTCACATTAGATAAATCTCGGGGTTGATGCAGGGTTGAAGACTGGCGATGATTCACACTTGAAAATTTTCAAGCCCACACCAACCCTACGTCAACTCCGAGATTGATTTCAACCCGGGTTGTACTCAACCCTGCTCCAGGCCAGGGTTGAGAATTTCCAACCTGGGTTGAAATTTTTTCATGCTTATTTCCAGGTTGAACTCACCCTGATAAGCTTGGTTCGCATGAAACAAGTGTGAAACAGCTCTGGGTTGAATGCGGGGTTGAAAAATCCAATTTTCAACCGAGGGCAGATATGGGGTTCGCCCAGGGTTGAGTTCAGCCCGGGTTGAGAGGCTGTAGTGTGACAAGGCTTTGAAAGGGGATGGAGAGACGGTAGCACTGTGTCAAATTGACTGAAATAGGACTGTCACTGTTTGTTATTTGTTTGTTGGGATATTGGGTTGTTTTTTGGTTTTTTTTTTCAATTGACAAAGACAATTTCCTCAAATGGCAAGCACATATGATACACTGTTCATAGGCTCCTCCTTAATGTTGTGTCTGAAGCTTCAGGTCTACAGTTTCAAATAAACTTTTTATATAATTGATAATTGTAGATAATTATCTACATGGGCATGTGCTGATAATGGACATGGCCATAACCCTGGAAGCTAGTTTTGGACATGGATTTACGTGTAGCTTATTTCTTAGGAGGGTTTAGGACATCAGATTATCATTGTTTATCAATGTCGTAAATAGATCTAAAGTTGACCCTCTCTGTGTAAACCATCCTTCTCACACTGTTTTTCTTTATATTGCTGCATGTGTTAGAGCACTTACATGTACTTTCATGTCAAAATACGGATGGGGACTTTAAGCATCACGTAACTGTACCGTATTTTATGTATGAAGTGTAATAGATGCGTCTCCTTTCAACGGAAACTTTGTAAAATCTTGGGGATTGTTTTTCTCCCTCAGTTTGTACTCCTCTGCCTTGTCATGCATGGTAGTAATGTGGACAGTCTCTGCT